AGTCTGGAGAAGAGGAGGCTGAGGGGAGACCTCCTGGCCCTCGGCAACTCCCTGCCAGGAGGGGGCAGAGAGGGGGGATGAGTCTCTGGAGCCAAGGCCCCAGCGCCAGGCCCCGAGGGAATGGCCTCAAGCTGCCCAGGGCAGGGTCAGGCTGGCTCTGAGGAAGGATTTCTGTGCAGAAGGGGCTGTTGGGCGTTGGAATGGGCTGCCCAGGGCAGGGGGGGAGTCCCCGGGATCCCTGGGGGGGTTGGAGAGTCGGGGTGACCCAGCACTGAGGGATCTGGGGGAGTTGGGAAGGGTCAGGGTGAGGGTCATGGTGGCACTGGAGGAGCTTCAAGGGCTTTTCCAACCGAGAAGATTCTGGGATTCTGTGAATCCCATCCCAGTCCTCAAAAACCTGAGAAACACTGGGTTTGCGTTTCAGAACACCAGCCAAACTCAAGACAGAGGCACAGGCGTGAGCCCTGCGTGCAGACTCACCCACATCTGCGTGTTTCAGAGCCCCAACGTCGTTGGTCCCATCCCCACACATCAGCGTGACATAGCCCAGGCTCTTCAACGTGGTGATGACAAACTCCTGCACAAAGAAATGCGCCGTGAGAACTGGCAGCCGTCTGCGCTGCGGCTCGGCCAAGTGCTTCTCTTCTGCAGGAGCCTGCTGGCATCACCCCCAGACTCCAAAAGCTTCACCTGCGGGATTTGTTTTAGAGCCAGAAAAGGCCAATGGGCTTAGGACACTTTAGAGTAACAATGTGGCACATCCTGAGCTCTAGTTCTTGCTGCCTGCTGGCACGGGTATTGGAAGTGGCTACACCACTTTGTTGAAAACAGCTTTAGCATTAATTATGTGCTATTTTTTTTTCCAAGAAAGGGTGTTCAGACAGTGGAATAGGCTGCCCAGGGAGGGGGGAAACAATCCCCATCCCTGGAGGGGTTTAAGGGTCCTTGAGATGAGCTGTGGGGAGATGTGGGGTAGGGGAGAGCTTTGTAGAGTCAGGCTGAGGGTTGGACTCGATGATCTGGATGGGCTTTTCCAATCTGAATGATTCCGTGATTCTATAATTTCTACATGGCACCATGTGAGCCCTGGTAAAGACAGGGTTTATCAGCAGCTGAAATCTCTCACCTTCTGCTTCGGCACCACTCTGGCAAACACCTGGATGTGGGGAATGAGCTTCAGCAGCTGCTGCCTATTGGCAGCCTGTAGGTGAGAGAGCCCTTCCCCGGTCACGCACAGGTCGTAGCGCTGCGTCAGCTCTCGCAAGGAGGCTGGTGAGTCTGGCAGCACCACAGCGCCAGCGATCGACTGCCACTGCCAGCTGCAGCCTGCAAAGAGAAGCACGAGCTCAACACGAGCAGGGCCGAGGCACCTGGCTCTCTGCCACGCTCCCAAACACCCAACAGACCCTGTTCCCCGTGTCTGCAGCCCCTCAGCGCTACGGGCACGAGGCCCTCGGCTTCCCACAGCGATGTGCCCACCTCCTGTCTAGGGACAGTCTTTATGTGGATCCTCCCTCCTTCCCTGCAGCCAGCGACACGGCTCCCATTCCCTGGATGGGCTCTGAACCTGCACAGCCAGGAGGCCTTCAAGCTGCTGCTGGTTTTTTTTTTAATTTTAGTGCTCAGACAGCTTGATTTCGGAACAGAGGAATGCACAAAGCTTGCAAAGTGCTCCAAGCCCGAGAAGAGAGGGACACTGAACAGCGAGTTATCTAGGAAGTGAGCCATCCCCACTATCAGCACCAAGCAGCAGTGCTCAGAGCACGTGGCTAACTCTGATACAACACCCCAGCAGGGCTTCGGCTGTCAACCTCCACAACCCAGGAGAGTTTCCTGCAAGGGACTGCTCACCTTTGCTCACAGGAGGCTGCAGAATGAGGGTGTGCTCTCTCTGGAGGAAGTGCAGCTCCCGGGCCACGTGGCAGGCAGTGAGAGGACTGTCACCTGTTATCATCACTACCTGAGGAGAAAGCGAGAAGGGTCAAAAATCAGTTGTGGGGAGGCAAGAGGCACTTCACAGCACGTCTCTTTTACACTGAGAACAGTCCTGCCTGGCCTGGATGCCAGTGACATTCCCTGGGAGATGCAGCACCCTGCAGAAAGGCTTTTCTCTTTGGGTCAGGGCAAATCCCACCACAAAAATAACATCATATCCCCAAGGTCTCCCTGCTCCCACCACAGGGAAGCCTTTTCCCTCGCTCCACAAAAGCTCTCAGTGCAAAAACTCCCCACCCCAAGCACCACAGCAAGGCTGCTGCTGACTCTTACGTGGTGTGAAGCATTCTGGATCTCCCTGATGACAGATTTGGAGTCAGCTTTGAGAGGACAGGAAACCACAATAAATCCAACAAATTTAAGATCACACTCCAAAGCTTCACGCTTCATCTCTCGCACCTGCCAAAGCAAATCAGCACATGGAGTGTTACCTGCTGCTCTGTAGCAGCAATTCTGTTTTCCAGCAGGTGCTTCCTCACAATCAAAGCATCACCAGAAACACAACCGATGCTCCGAGATGCACAGAGCAATCCTGGACTGTCCCCAGCTGCTCCAGAGAAGTTTCTTTGGCACAAAGCTCCACAAAAGCAGCCCTGAAGACTTAAACGTGCCCATCCCCGTGTAAAACCAGGTTCACAGCTACAAAGTTCAGTGCTAATCCTCTTCAGTTGTTATAAGGAAAGAAATGACCCTGCTTTACGACAAGGAAACGTAAGTATTGAGCAGTAATGCACAGAAATCCAAGGCTGGGTGCACAATGCAGCAGCTGCGATCTTCCCAGAAGACCCAGATCATAAAAACAACACGACTACAGCAGCTTTGGGCAACCACATCCCAAAAGAGACCCCCCACTTCCCCAGCCCTGCTCTGTTTCCTTTGCCAGGAGCTCGATTTCAAGGCTTACGCTGACAGATGTACCTGCTGGTGAGTGAGGTGCCCCAGTTCTTTGTAGCCCAGGGCCAGCACTCTTGCCCCCTCGTGTGAAATTTCCGTGTGGACAGCATGATAGTTGCTTGGGCACTGAGACAACTAGAGGAGGTGCAGGGAAAAGCATTGTATTAACACAATTTCAAACACAATTCAGTAGCATATTTCACATGAATTATGCAGACAAGGGAAAAGAGGCACCTTTGGGAGGGTCCCTCACCATCACGGGCAAAAGGAGATTCCCCCAGATTTAGTCCTTGGATTTAGCAACAGGGCCAGGAGTGCGCATGGTGAGATCTTCAGATCTCACTGGGATTAGACTGAAACTCCCTCGTGGAGTTTGTTTCCAGGCCTGGGCTCACTGTCCCGTGTTGCAGGATGAAATCCCTACATCATTCAGGTTCCAGAGCGGGCAGGGACAAGCAGAGGAGCACAGGGATGAGCAGAGGGGCTAGAGAAGGCCCTTCCTCCCCTTGAGGGATGCGCTCACCATTTTGTGCAGCGTCTCTGGGGCCCCTTTCACAGCTGCAATGTAACAGAGATCAGTCGAGCCGATCTTCTCATACGACGCCAAGACAGACATTCTTTTCAGGGCACTGGCAAAATGAAAGCGCTGGTGAATTTTCAGTCCCTGAGTTTTAATACTTCTGGGGAAAACTTTCTCATCTGGAAACAAACAGATCAGGAAATCCTGAAAGGTTTCTCGGTATCAAAAGCGACATCCCGCCCTTCAGGTCCCAGAGGAACCCACAGGTCACCGAGATCGTATGAATTTCCTCTCTAGATACAAGCACACAAGCTAGAAATTCTCATGAACCAAGGGACACAACCGATTAAAACACTTCTGTGTGTTAGTGTGAACAGATACGCAGCAGGTTGAAGGTACATTTATAGGATATATTATCATCACAGGTAAAAATCCAGAAACAAACCCCACAACAGCGTGGGTTTCAGTGGGATATGTATGCAATATTTCTGGACAATTTCTACTGTAGTTACCTGTGTGTGTGAAAGACAAGAAAGCAGAGCAGAAAGCCTCTGGAGAGGCTGTTTAAAACCCACACTGTGATGCTTCCACTACCACGACCTGCACGAGTCACCCCCTGATTTTACTGTGCAATCAGAACCAGAAGGTGCCAACCGGAACGTGGCAGCTGCAGAACGCAGCACCCGCCATCCTGAGAACAGACTCAGCTCCTATTTGTCACCCCTCAAACGTGCAGGACAAGGATTTCCACTGCCCCAAATCAGTTCCTGAGATGACACCAGATGGAATTCAGTCCTTGCAGAAAGCTGGCAAGAGGCACAGGAAATCTCCACAGACTAGAGAATGTCACACTCAGAACTGACAAAACTGGTGTTATCACCATCACCCCCATCAAAAAAACCAAAAACTCCCCAGCTCAGGTATCAACCAGGGAGGAGCTGGAAACAAGTTTTACCTTTGGTCAGGGTCCAGTCCACAGCTGTCAGCATTGCCTTCTCCAGGGGGTCACCCACCAGCGTCCCGTCATCCACCTGCACAAGCGAGTGGCACGTGGCGATCGCTCGGTGCGTCTCTACAGGAATGTCAGACACGGGTGTCACTTCCTTCCCATCCCTGCAGCATAAAAAAGACTGCCCATGTTAACAGACCCGTTCGCATTATCTCAGACAAATTCTGGAATTTCTCCCCGCCAAAAATTCCTACTCTAATACAGTAAACAGAAGAGCTTCTCATGGTGAGATCAAAGCCACAGGAAATCTGGCCCCGTCTCAACTGCAAGCGGTGCCAAAGCCCGTTGCTTCTGCCAGTCCTCCAAAGCAAACTCAGTTCAAGCAGAACACTCGAGGTAGAGGCCTGAACTGACACATCTAACTAACTGTAGAATTGAAGGACTGGGATGTGTCTCTGTTGCAGCATCAAGCCTCCACGAGCAGTTTGTTATGGCAGCAGAACGAGAAGGCAGGACACTACTTCGAGGAGCAGCAGCAAAGATCTCAATTACACAAAAACCCTATGCAAGAACCCCCTTGGGACAATCGAATTCCCCAAGTCCTCAGCCCAGTCGTTGCTAGAGACCAACGACCCTCTCTCCTCCCATTTTTTTCACTCTCTGAATCCCTGATCATCTTTTCTTCCCCACTGGAACGGGATCGCCGTAGTGCCTGAGGGGTTCCTGCAGTGCCCGAAGCCCAGACCACAGCAAACCACATCACAAAAATCACCCGGGACCCACCTGAGCCCAGCTACTCCTCTCACGACAAGGTGGTCGCTGGTTAACGTGCCGGTTTTGTCAAAACAGCAAACTTGAACTTTGCCTGCAAAGGGGATGCGGAAGGGCTCCGTACAGTACACATCTGGAAGAGAGGGGAGGAAATTCTGTGAGTAATCAGCTACAATGAAGCCAGGACACGGTGCTCAGGGGCTTTAACCACAAAACAGGAGCTATCGACATGGTGCTCTGATAGTTAATGAACCTGAAACTCCTGAGTTTCTGGAGCATTTGATACCAGAACAGACACCAAGCAGCAGTGATGTAGTGCAATAGAGAAGTCACTGACCTCCCCAGTTCCTAAAGGAACCTGCTCAGCACAGAACACCAGGAGTGTTGAGCACACAGTTCCCTCCTACACTTGATTTAGGACCCACTTCAAAGCACACAACCCCCAAGTTCTTTGGGGTTTAACCCCCACACCCCCCCCTCACACACCAGCTCCAAACCCCACACTGTCACTGTGCAGCAACTGAGAACACTACAGAATTTTCACACTCATTTCCTCACAGTTCCAGGCACAAGAAACTAGTTCTAGTTTTGTGTTTAGGCTTAGTACTTACAGAGCTTGGCCAAAGCAATGAGGGAGGTGTTGACAGCCAGTGAGAGCTCGATGGGAAGTTCAGGTGGAACAACTGAAGTCAGTATTAAGGTACATTCCAGGAAGAGCTTGTAACGGTTCCTGCTGGGATCCTTCGTGCCTAGGAACGAGACAGAAGAGCTGTGTATCCCCTCATCCTTGGACTGCATGCCCCCCAGAACTAAGACGAGCACCCCAAAGAAGCTCACCTACCTAGGAAGGGCTGTGGGAGGGTTAGAAAAACATCCAGAATGCAGTGTGGGCCCCTACACTGAAACACCGGCGCAGCCCAACCCAGCTATTGTAACTCTCACAAATTACGTCAACTGTCCTTCCCACAAGCTTTGGTACAAGTCCTGTGTAGAGACCTGGAAGAGGCAAGAAGAAATCTCACCTTCGATCCAGACGTATGCTGCAGCAGCAATGGCAAAGACCAGCAGGAACAGGATGAAAATGAAGGTCTCTAAGTTATTGGCTGTCACTCTCTTCACCCCAAAGAGGATTGTACGTAGCAATTTCCCCTGAGAAGAACAGCCTTCAGTGCAAGAAGCTATCTCTGCAGCATGCAGCACTTTGTTAAAAATATGTAATCACAGAATCACAGAATTGTCTAGGTTGGAAAAGCCCTTGAAGCTCCTCCAGTGCCACCACGAACCTCACCCTGACCCTTCCCAACTCCCCCAGATCCCTCAGCGCTGGGTCACCCCGACTCTTCAAGCCCCCCAGGGATTCCAGGGACTCCCCTCCTGCCCTGGGCAGCCCATTCCAACGCCCAACAGCCCCTTCTGCACAGAAATCCTTCCTCAGAGCCAGCCTGACCCTGCCCTGGGCAGCTTGAGGCCATTCCCTCAGGGCCTGGCGCTGGGGCCTTGGCTCCAGAGACTCATCCCCCCTCTCTGCCCCCTCCTGGCAGGGAGTTGCCGAGGGCCAGGAGGTCTCCCCTCAGCCTCCTCTTCTCCAGACTGAACCCCCCCAGTTCCCCCAGCCGCTCCCCAGCAAACCTGTGCTCCAGACCCTGCCCCAGCTCCGTTGCCCTTCTCTGGCCACGCTTGAGTCACTCAATGGCCTTTTTGGGGTGAGGGGCCCAAAACTGAACCCACTCGTCGAGGGGCGGCCTCACCAGGGCCGAGCTCAGGGCTCAGATCCCTTCCCTGTCCCTGCTGGCCACTCTCTGATGCAAGCCAGGATGCCATTGGCCCTCTTGGCCACCTGGGCACACTGCTGGCTCATGCTCAGCCAGCTGTCAAATGCAGCAGTTTGTTAAAAATAAGCATGAAACCCAATTTTAAAATGGCACTTGTGTTTTGGTGCCAGAGCCTGAAAATTATTCCATCTTCTGTGATCTTCTTAATATGCATCAGCTTACAGTCACCCATAATTATCTGTTAAAAGGCCCAAACTAATTGCTAAGTCGCTTAAGTTGATTATTTCTTTGAAGCAGTCTTCAATTTGCAATTAAAAAAGCTCATGTTTACATCTCCAGTCTCTACAAACACCCTCAAATGTCCCTTTCCAACAATTATCTTTACAGCAACGGGGATAACCAGAAGCTGTAGCATGCACATCATGCAGGCAGCTGCAACAGGAACCCCAAATCCTGACTCAGGGCTCCTGCATCAAACATCAGGCTGCTTATATCACACCCGGAGAACAGACTAACCTCATTTATTCCTCCCTCTTCCAAACACACAAGTAGTTTTAACACCCTGATTTCTATTATCCCACGGCTGCACTTCCCAAGGATTTCCCTCCAGCGAAGTGCTGAGCAACACAACCAACACCAAGACAGAGGTGAGAAGTCACGTTCACACCTTACCTGGGAGGTGTTGAAGCCAGTTCTCAGAGCATACGCCACACACCCGTTATCCACAGCTGCAACAGGAGCAGGAATGAAGACAATAAGCTTACTGGAGATCTTTTACAGGCTTTTCACAGACAGAAAACACTTGAAGCTACATCCTCCCCTCACTTACAAGGGGACACAGTCAACTTTATTAGACTGCTGTGATATTCTATTAATCACAGTAAATCATCAGCAACAGGGCGAAGGCGAATTGACTCAACTAATCCTCCAAAAGTCACATCAGGCTGTTTAAAATAAACCCATGAGCACACAACACGCCCTCGCCGAGGGAATGCGTGCAGGTACCTACGTTTCAGTCCCGTGCTGGCTTTCTGGGGCGGGATGTGCTGCACCACTTTGGTTCCCCCAAAGATGATGTGTAACCGGGAGTCAGTCTGCATGTCCAAGACGTGCTCGGGACTGAGATCCTCCACGGGCTCCTGCGGGACAATGGCCAGGTCTCAGACTCCCACCTATCAACAAGTAACCTCCAAGTGTGCTGCTCTGTCCTTAGTCCATGAGATGCTCTCAGCTTCACTTCACCCACAGGTAGCCTGAACTGAATCTAGACCTCAACATGCCATTTGGCTCCTGATTGGCCTCAGTTCAGAGCCTGGTATCTGGGGAAATTCTGGTTTCGGGGGACTAGTTCACCCTTGGCACGCTGAATTCAGCGAGGGAGGCTCTGCAAGCATTACTTTATCATTTTTAAGTCATCCACTGGCACAAAAAAAAAGGAAGAGTCAGGCTTTTGAAGTGCTTTACACTTGTTCCTCCTCCCACCTCGACCCAGCCAGAGGAATCCAGACTGGGGAATGTGTAGGAGGGTGATGCCAGGCCCACACGGCGGAGTTCAGACCCAAAGGCTGGAGCCCTCGCCAGACAAAACAGACATTTCTGTTTCTCATTTACCAGAGACCATCAATCACCGAGAGGGAGCCGGTAACAGAGAGTCCAGGTTGTCCAGGCCAGTGTTCACACAAAGAAACTAATTTGCTGAAGTGCCTCCAATGTTTTTTACTTTTCCAGGTTGCACCAAAGGGACAGCAGAGGACATTTCACACACACCTTCATCTGTGGCACAGACTCTCCAGTCAGCATGGCTTCATCCACAATACACCTTCCACGTAACAGCAGCACATCACATGGCACTAGATTTTCATGAGGAGATCGGCCTGTAATTAATACATTAAACCTGAGAAGCTCCTCAAAGGCAGGAGTGACTATTCTGTGGCTATTTGTCTGGTATCCAGCTCTCCTTTAGTCTGGCTGAGGTACAGGAGATTCCTAAAGCTTCAAACCAACCGTGGGGTGCCAAGCCCAGCCCAGCATGTACCCACTCAGCACTGCTGAGAACCGAAAGGGTTTGAAGGTTATTAGGTCTCTACTGAGACCAGGAAAGTTTAAAATCAAGTCATTCAGTTCTTACTGCCATTCAGGCTTCAAAGACTGGCACCACATCCTGGCGTAATACAACCTTAAAAAAGAGAGCAGGGTCAAAAGAGGTATCTGCTCTTTCCCCTTCCATTCTAGGAAGATATTGTCAGGAGGAAGAGAACTCTTTGTCTTCATAATCTGAAGAATTTGAGGCCAATTTATCTAAGTATTTAGCTTTCCTCCAGACAGCTAGCAGGTCCAAGAGATCCAGCCCAAGGATTAATCTCTTGGACCCTTGAATTGTGACCAAGGCAAATCAAAGTCCTCAAAAGCACCCAACCAAGACCATGAGATTTTTACGTCTAATGCAATTCACTGCACAACTCAACGCACCGGAAGGAAACTGATTTTAAACAAGCTTTTGATTACAACCATCAAAGTCATTACCAATGGAAACGATATCCCCTGGAATAATCTCATCACTGGAAATGGGGCGCCACTTGCGGTTTCTGTAAACCTGTAGGGAAAAAAAAAACAAAACAACACTTTGAGAAAAGGATCAGAGGAAAAGGATGGGAAAAGGGAACAGCAGGTCAGCTAAAAGACAACTACATCAAAAACTTCATGCACAATCCTCTCTGGTTATTACCTGGATCATATATGGCTTGTTCCCCATTTTTCGAATCTCCGACATGTTCCTCATTTGCTGCTGGACCAGAGAAGCTTCAAACGCGACCAACATGGAGAGGGTGAAAATACTGTAATACCAGTATTCATCCAGGCACCACAAACCCACACAGAACACCTGTGGGGAGAACATGACAGCAACGTTATTCTCATCTCCTTTGGAAGACAAAAGCTTCATTCTAGGAATTATGGGGTTTTTAAGCTAGCTTGGTACACGTTTAATTGTAGGAAGCCAGAAAAACAGAAAATCACAGTAAGTTTTTAGAGAGAGGCAAGGTCACTCCCAGAAGTAAAATCAATATTACAGTGTAAGAACATCACCTACTCCTGATTTCAGAAAGCCACCAACTGTTTTGTGGCTCTCAAGCCAGGACTGTAAGAAAATCTGTAATTTTTTAACAGGGAGAAGTATTTACAGCTCTTCTGCTTTGTTCATTTTACCTGAAAGACAAAGAACGGAGCCGTAGCTCTTTCTTTAAAGAGTTCCAAGAATTCTGGTACCACCATCTCAGCCCTGGGAAAGAAATGAGTCCTTATGAACCTCAACATTCCAGATTCTCAGCAAAAGCCCAACCGAAGAGCCACCTGCAGCCTCTGGTGTCAGACCAGGCTGTACCCCAGAACATCCACACACTCTCTCCCTCTTTTCAATCCCAGTTAATTTGTTATATGCAATTAATTTCCATCTGTAGCCCACCCTGGAGAAAATCCCCTTGGTCCAATACTGTTCCCTGTCTTTAAGTGAATTTGAAGCAAGTGCCAGGAGTAACTGAAACATAAAAAACAGGACTAGGACTGTGGTTCAACACTGTTGTTCCTGACACACTTTGGCAAAGGGAGATCTGCACCTGGAAAACTTACTTGTTTGTACCATATTTCTTCTCAGCTGCTCGGATATCTTTGTCCTCCTGATAGCCTCTGGCATTCTGGTAGTAACAAAGGGGATGTTCCACAGGAAAAGCTACAGGAAGAAACTGTTTCTTGCCGTCTATCTCATACGAGTATTTGATTTTCTGAAACTCAAAGGAAAGAGCCTCCTGCCCATCTTCACCCTGCAGAGAAGGGGATAAAAAGCAACCAACTGAACACAAGCCAAAGGCTTCAATCCACACATAATCCTGCCTGAAGAAGGAAAGAAACCCCAATCTCTTATGTGTCTAGTTATTGTATGATTCTGCTTGTGGCATACGCCCCAGGAAACACTGTGCCATCTTTAACATCGCCATTTTCCACCAACCACAGCTGATTTTTCTTTAATTCTTTAAGTTAAAAGTTAATAAACTACGGGCTGAGAGCACGATGTGGCAGCTCCCTGGCACGGGACAAAATGCCAGTTCTGCTCCCGACAGCTGTATCCTTACCTGGTCTCTGTGGAGTGGCACTAATTCTACTGATCCGTTATTTGGGGTTGGCACAACTTTAGCCAATGTGGCTTTCTTAGGACAAGGTTCCTGAAACACAGACAAGACACACTAAGTAACGCGGATCACAGACCCTGAATTTCAACAAGTTGGGAGGAATCCTTGCTGGATCGCTCTAAAACATGTGGAAGGTGTGGCCAGGTGCTTTTGTGGCACCGTTGTGAGAATCAAAGACATTCCAATTATCACAATCCATCCTCAAAATCCTACTCTGCCAAAGAAGGAATATTCAGTATTTCACTTGCAGTTCAGCCATATATAGCTGCCAGTAAGACACAGTTACAACAGCCACTGCAAAAATGACAACTGGCCGGTCCATCATCAAAAGACAAATGATCAACGCTAACAAAGGCAGTCGGACCCCACTCTGAACTCATCCCAGGCTGCCTCCCCACAGCCACATTGCTGGGCTTCCCCTCAGGGCTGGGGCCTACCGAACACACACACCTTCCTTCCCCCCTGCCAGTACGCAGCCACTGCCCAAGCCCAGCTAAAGGGCGACACGTTTTCCCGCAAAGCGTCTCCTCACGGCCCTCACCCTCTCCCTCATCGCGCCTGCAAAGTTTCCTGGCGTGGCTGCTGTGGCTCTGCCACGTCGCATGAAACACCCACACCCAGGAAACCGAACGCCCCCAAGCTTTCACACGACAGGAGCCCGCAGGGATCAGCAGGAGCCTTCCCGCGCTGCTCGGGTGCAGCCCCGGAGGCCTCTCCAGCGCGGCCGGCTCTGCGGTACCGGCAGCCCCGGGACTCACCCGGACGCAGGTGAGGGCGCAGTGAGCGTGCACGGACCACAGCCCCGAGAGCGCCGTCAGCAGATGGACGACACCGATGGCGACGAGAGCCAACAACGCGGCCTCGGGGGGCGCGGGGCCCGGGCCCGGTCTCGGGCCTTCATCCTCCGTCATTGTCGTCGTCGTTGCCGCCGCCGC